AGACCCCTGATTTCAGGAGATGCTTTTATTTAGAGAAGGAGTTCTGTTGAGGCAGAAATCTTAAATTCTGCTCTGGCATCTTCAAAAACCTCTCTGGGGTCTTTTGACCAGTGTTGAAAATACTAGATCAGGAGAACATTTAGTTTGACTCAGTTTGTCCTTGGGGCTGAAGTAGTAATGGGTGAAGGAATTTGTCTCCCAGCCATTCTAATTTTGAATGATGGGTGTTATAGTCAGTATCCATCTGCAAGGTGCTATTTTGGAGAATGCTATCTTAATTTTCTATTTTGGTTAGAAGGATGATGAATATGTATCACTATAAGTGAAGTGTGTTGTTCATTCTTAGCATGTGCAAATCCACTTCCAGATCTTTGCATCTAGCTTGTATTTTTTTCACTTGGTGTAGCTGGTGGTACAAGTAATCCTTGATTTGCAACCATTTGTTTAATGCTTGCAAATTTCAAAGTTACAAATGGTGCTGAAAAAAGTGACTTATGACCAGTTCTGCAATTATAATCATCCCAACAGTCATGTGAGCAAAACTTGGTGCAACTCCTTTAATGACCAAGTTACATAGTGATGGAAGTTCTGGTCCCACTTGTGATCATAAGTTGAGGACTACCTGTGTCTGCCATCTAATGTTTTTCCCCCCAAAACCAAACCTGCCCTTTCAGGATAAGGTTACCTGCTTCAAGCTGGCTGACAGATAAGGCTGCTACCCATTTCTTTCCAGCAAGCTGTTGTGTATTTTAGCAACTGAGCAGAAGGCACGTGTCCAACAATCATGGGGTCCTTTTTCACACAGCAGGATTATGAAAACAAGAACTTTTATCTGTTAATTTCTTAGCTTCACTTCCAAGCATTGGTTTAGATCCAACAGCAGCAAGGATTGGGAGTCTCGATTATTCTATATTAAATGCCAGGGATAATGGGAGTTGCAATCCAAGACATCTGGAAAGCCTCTGGAAAAAGGATGAGCTAGCAAAAGGATGAGGTTTAGAACAGGAATAAAAGGGTTCTTATTGGATGGCTTTGGGCCAGTCACTGTCTCATAACCCAGAGAAGTTACTCACCTTTGGCAATTTCTAGCTGTGTGAACTTCTACTCCCAGAATTCTCAGTAACCACTCTGCTGGCCTGCTGGAGAATTCTGTGAGTTGGACCACACATCTGAAACTTGCAAAGATTGGGGAAATACTAACCTAACACCTTAAATTTGGTAAGCTACAACCTGGTGATGACATTATCTTGAGCTTTTTACACAGTATGGAATACTTAAAAGAGGGATTAGATAAGAAACTCTCAAGGATTCTGTCTAGTTTATACAGACTAAAACTTACTTTGCATAGATGACATCACTCAGTATCCAAAATAAAATTTTTCTTTGCTAGTGTTCTTTTAACATATTAAAGGTGACAAGAGGTGCTATTACTGGTGTTACTTGTTATGCATGCCTTTGTAATTCTGAAACTTCCATGGTCCTAAGTCAGAAAAAAGCCCCTTGGGAGAGCTTACTCATACCATTCCTTGGCAATGAAGTGAAGTGTGAGAAGCTAGAGAAACCTCAGACAGCTGTAGAGAAGACTATGTAAAGGAACATAATTCTCTTGGCCATCCCTGAGCATTTAAAAAAAAAAAAATTATTGTCCTTGGAAAGAATTTTTAAAGCTAACTGTCTTTCATCGCTGAGGATACAAAGAAATGCGAAGGAGTTTCCCTGCCCAGCATTAAACGTAAGTGGCCTAGCTTGAATCATAATTTTATATAAGATATATGGTGCTCAGACCTGAAAAGACACCACTATTCATACACTAATTCCTCTGTTATCACAATGGCAGTATTGAGCATTTAATAGAACCCATTAAGAATGTTGGAAATGTCAGAAATCAGCTTCACTGAGATCAGTGGGGTTTTTTTTTGACAATATTTAAAAGCATAACTGAATTCTATACCTCATTCAAACGTTGCTTGTATTTATATTTTTAATACAGTTTAAATGCAGTTATTGATTTCAAATACAATTTAGCAATAATTTCATGTTTACATGGTGAAATAGGTATCCAGCAATCTGGACTGAGTAATCCCTACTCATTTCAGCCCCATACTATCTAAGTGTGGTCACTATATTTTATTGGAAAAAATAAAAGGACAAACCAGGAAAGGGGACAAATCTGAAACAAGTTCATAATGATAAAAAATATAACTTTGCTTTACAAAGACAATTCTAGAGCAAAACCAAGAAAAACTGTTCAAAAATGCATAAAAAGATATATAAAATCAAACAGTATATGTAAAAAAAATTTTTTAAAGACAATTCAATTTCTTTATTTTCCACATAAATGTAAAACATTGTGCATGGTGGTACTATTTATACAATAACAGTTAAAATGACCAAACTAAAGGGGGAAAGTGAATTTAAAAAAAAACCTGATAGCTTTCTGAAATAATGGATTGTCCCTTATACTGTATAGTGTCCTTTATATAGTAAAGGAGGTATGGTCACTGTATATATAGAGAAATCAGATTTTTTTAAAAAAAAAACTAGAACTGGCACTGAGATCTCAATATGAACATTATATTGATGTTTGGGCCCAGTTACTTTTCAGTGTTCTTCTGAGAATGGAGAAACTACCTTGGAGGAATCACAAAACATCAACTTAAGAATATTACACATCTCGGTGCATTTATTCCAAGGTACATTTGCAGAGGAACAAGTCCAGAGTTGCAATCAAAATATGTTAGAAAAGAACTGGCAATCAATATCTAGCTTTATGCTACTAAAAGATATGGAACAGGTCCTCAAGATTCCAAGATAATTCCCGCTAGAATTCACATCAGATATCAAAGAAAGACCACAATGCTCTTTGCACCAGTTGGAAGTAAGCCCCAGATAATTAGATAAGGTACTTATAGGACCACAAATGCTGCACTGCCACCTATGCATGCATAACCTGTGCACTTTGTCAACATCTGTTAAACAATCACATGTAAGAAGACTTTCTAAGACATTTAAAACACCCCTTCAACCACTGCAAGGAATTAAAAGGGCGACACTGTCACCCAACCACAGGTATCTCCTTGCCTAATAGACATGACAGATTTAATCACTCCAACAATTTGAAGGTAATACCTTTCCCTTAGTTGGTCTGTTTTACCTCAGTGTTGGTAAAGTGGCCCTTTGTTCAACACAATGCATCAGTCCTCAATGCCACTGAAACTGTCACTGGCCCCTTTAATTATGTACTGAGGGATCAGTATGGCAGCCCAAATGTAATCTGCAAATACTTACAGGCAGAGTGTGTTTCTTAATAAGACACAGCATCAAGCACGTAAAACACACAATCTTAGGAGAGGCTTCAAGGCCTATTTCAAAGGTGCCGATTCTGGAATTCAAAACAAAGCATTAAATTGCAGGGATGGATAAAATCCACAAGCCAAAGAAATGATCCTTAAAAGAGGAGAATTATTATTCCCATGTTATTAAACAGGAAGCACTATTAGGTGACCAATATATTTGTTACTGGCAACTTGGCTGAATGTGTACATGGCATTAAAAGTCACAATCTGCTGATGAAGCCAAGTTAGGGGTTCACATCTGCAAAGTCAGAACAGAGTAAAATAAATGATGGATTAGCACAGTGTGTGAAAGCAATCTTTCTCTTGCTAGATTACCTGAAGATATCATGGTTCCCATCATAAGCATCATAGGAATATTACTGGTGACCCTTGTAATCAATAAATGATAAAGACTATGCAGCGACACTCCAGCAGGAGACTCTTGGTTGCAATATTTGTTGGTGATATTACTCCCAAAAGATGTACAAGTTTTACTACGGTAGCTCTTGAGCGAAATCCCAAAGAAAGAGAGAATTTCTGTTTTTGCCAAGCTTTGTATTGGGAAGTAGAAAAATAAGAGGTGACCTGATTTTTCATAGCCTGCATTTTGCACACAGATATTTTAAAACAATAAAAAACATCCCGATGTGATTATAATGCCTTCCTGTAATCCACAAATAGGAACTCAGATTTTTAAGCAATTTAAAGTGAGCATACATTGCCCAAAAGATGCTGTCATTATGTGTTTCTTTTAACTTCCCCTTATTCCAATTTGGGAAAGGGGTGCTTCATCTTGAAAACGCACTACAATTAAGAAATGGATTCATCCCTTAACATCCTATCTGCCTGGTAGTTGTGAAAATATACCGGAATCTAATATGAACAGCAAACATTAAACAGGTCGAGTCCCTAACATTCTAGGCAAAAACAAACATGTCAGATAAACTTAAATTTTACAGAGCCAAATGACTGCATGAATGCATTTTGTCCTTTGCACTAAAGGGCACCAGTTATTAGATATAAACCCCTCCATTTGGAAACCTGTGGGTTGCTTGCTACTGTATTCTAGGACAGGGGTTTCCAACCTTGGAAATTTTAAGCCTGGTGGACTTCAATTCCCATAATTCCCCAGCCAGCAAAGTTTAAGGTCCACCAGGTTTAAAGTTGCCAAGGTTGGAGACCCCTGTTCTAAGAAGTCCCAGGGCTTTGGATAGGCTCCCTGTTTCAGTAACCTGTTGGAGCTATGCTGGCTGGGGAATTCTGGGAGTTGAAGTCCACCAGGCTTACAGTGGCCAAGGTTGGAGACCCCTGTCTTAGGAAGTCCCAGGGCTTTGGATTGGTTCCTCGTTTCAGTAACCTTTGGAGAAGTAACCTGTTGGAGCTTTGCTGGATGGGAATTCTGAGAGTTGAAGTCCGCCAGGCTTAAAGTTGCCAAGGTTGGAGACCCCTGTTCTAGGAAGTCCCAGGGCTTTTGATAGACTCTTGGTTTCAGCAACCTGTTGGAGAAGAGCCCTCAGTTTCTGGAGCCCTTTCCCTGTCCCCTCTTGCACAAGGCTACCAGAAAATGTCCTCCACACCTGGACAAGCTCCCCTCCCCCTGGCCGTCGAAGTTCTCCCTTAAGAGCTATAACTGACTGCAATTATCTCTCTTTTTTTATCTTGCAGACGATCTTTCGCCCAGCGCTTTAAGGAGGCAAAAATATTTGTTTGATGTATCGACTCTCTCAGACAAAGAGGAGCTGGTGGGGGCCGAGCTCCGTCTCTTTCGGAAAGCCGCCGGCGATCCTTTCTCCAAGGCTCAGACAGGCTTGGCCCGTCTGCAGGTCTCGCCCTGCCTTTCGGGCCGCCGCCTGGACTCCCGGACTCTGGACTTGCAGGAGGCGGCGCCCGTCCGGCCCGGTGGTGGCGGCGGCGACTGGGAGGTGTTTGATGTCGGGCAAGCTTTGCCGCCCCTCCGCGGGCCCTGGAAGAAGCGGCAGCAGCTTTGCCTGGAGCTGCGGGCCGTCGGGGGGACGCGCTCTCAGCCCCACCCGCAGCTGCTGGACCTGCGGCCCCTAGGCCTGGGGCGAGGCGCCCGAGCCCAGCAGGAGAAGGCCCTGCTGGTGGTCTTCAGCAAGTCCAGGCGGAAGAACCTCTTCGCCGAGCTGCGCCAGGAACCGGGAGCCCGGCCTCTTCCTCCTCTGCCGCACAACGCGGCCGCCCTGCCCTGGGAAGCGGCGGGCCCCGTGCAGCTCCGCTTGCAGGCCCGCCGGATGAAGCGCGCCGCCTATAACCACCGGCACGGCAAGCGGCACGGCAAGAAGGCGCGTCTCCGGTGCACCAAGAAGGCGCTGCACGTGAATTTCAAGGACCTGGGCTGGGATGACTGGATCATCGCTCCGCTCGAGTACGAGGCGTACCACTGCGAGGGCGTGTGCGACTTCCCGCTGCGCTCGCACTTGGAGCCCACCAACCACGCCATCATCCAGACCCTCATGAACTCCATGGACCCGGCCGCCACGCCGCCCAGCTGCTGCGTGCCGGCCAAGCTGACGCCCATCAGCATCCTCTACACCGACGCCGGGAACAACGTGGTGTACAAACAGTACGAGGACATGGTGGTCGAGTCCTGCGGGTGCAGGTAGCGGCGCGCCGCCGATCCCCGGCTGCAACCCCGGAGCGGAAGGGCGGGCGAGGGAAGCCTCGGGGAACTCCCACGGCGGACAGCGAGCGCGCGAGAGTGAAAGACACGCGAGGGAAAGCGGGCGCAAAGCGCGCCACGTGCGAGCCCTCGCTCCGCGCTGGGGAGGGAAGAATGGGCGGTCCGGACTGCGCTTGCGCAATGGGTTGCAGTTCCTGCTCCTTGAAGAGCCAAGAGAGAGAAAGAGAAAGTACAATAGCTAACGCCGTTTTGGGAACAATGTTTCCGCGTCCAGGCAAAGCCGTCTCCCCTAGGATGGGAGAGTTTGCTCCGAAAACACATGGCGAAAGTTCCTCTGAAAAGTTGCTCGGTCGATGTTTTCCCCTCGACTGAAGGTTTGGAAGTTACCCAAACGAGTCCCGTTTTGCAGAAATGAAGCCTTGGTTTTGAATCCGCAAACACGACATTTTCTGGGATAATTCACTGCCCCCTTTCCTTGTAGTATTTGTCCTTGCAGTTCCTGGAAGAATTTTTTTTTTTAAAATATAAAAAAAATGGAGTATCGGGGAGGTTACCCAAGTCTCTTAAGAGAGGCAACGTGGGGAGTGGTGGTGGTCAGAAATTGAATTGTGGGATCCAGGCGAAGACACGTGTCGTCGGTCCCTTTCGTAAGTGGCGCCAGCCTCGTGCAACTCCTCTGGTTGGCAGAGCTTGGCCTTTAACATTCAGGTTTTAAAACGGACTTCTTTTAACTTTTTTTCTCCCTGCTCCCGTGTCGTTCCCCTGTGCTGTGCGGACAATCTGCGCTGAAAACGGCAATCGGCGGTTTCTCATTTCTGACTTGAAGGCAAGGAAGAAATAAGATGAGGCAAACTGCATC